TTTTTTTTTTTTTTTTTTAAGGTATCAGGAAGAGAATTCGGCCAAAAAACATGAAACATGATAAAGGGCACCTTTTAATGTTGAAAGCCATATACTATAGCTTGACTTGTAACAGTTACGGTTTTGCACCAAATCACACAGCAGTCAACCTCATCAAGCAAAAACTACACTACATAACAAAAAATAGAGATACACACATTATTAATAAGAAAACTTAACATTCCACGGCCAGTAAATGGACATACAAAGTAGAACAAAAATAAGTTATGATGCAGAAAACTTGATCACATTAGTAAGTAAATCTTAGGAATAGCTAAGGATAGTTATCTCCCAATAACAGGAAATAAACTTTCTTCTCAAGCACACATGAATCAGTCACAGAATTCTGTCATATAGTAGGTCACAAAGAGAGCATCAGTAAATTCCATAAAGTGACATCAAACTAAAAATTTACTGAAACATCAAATTAAAAAAGCCCCTCTGAAATGGGGAAAAATAAACTAATAAAACAACTCTTCAGCAAATGGGGAGACAAAAAAAAATTTCTAAGTATTGACAATTAACAATATTACAGATTATAATCTATGGAATAAATGTAAAGCAGTGACCAAGGAATATTCATAGTTTTAAATATTTTTACATCGATAAGAAGAATTACATGAACAAACTAAAATTCTCACCTCAAAAAGCTAAAAAAAAAAAAGGTAAATCAAAAGAAATTAAGGAAGAAAATAAAATTAAAGACGGAAATCAGGAAACTGAAGAGAAAAACAACCTAATTATAAATCAAAATCCTACTTTGGAAAAAATGTAAAGAACTGATAAACTACTAGCTAACTTAATGAGGAAAAAAGGGAGAAAGTACACGCTTACAAAGGAAGGAATAAATAATAGCTAAAACAAACCCCGCCCCCACATACACATACCGGATCACTTTGCAGACTTCTGCACAAATAAATGTGATCGTCTATGAAACAGACTGTTTCCTCGCGAAATACAATTTACCAAAATCA